CGAACTGTGGCTCTGACGTAAAATTGAAAATGAAAATAAAACTATCATAGTTCCATTTATAAAAATTTTAAAGTATATTATTCACATAATGGTGATTATGTAAAAATATATTTATGGCTCTTGAATAATTTTTAAACTGTTGTGAGGGGCAGGATTGGCTCTTCCAGGGGTCGGCAAATGTTTGAGATCGAACATACCCAAAGAGTCGCATGTGGCTCGTGAGCCGCAGTTTGTCGACTCCTGGTCTAGGGCATATTGAGGACAGCACAGAACAATGGAGGGCAGCGCAGAACCTGTTGAGGTGCCCCTTTTGGACCACTTCCAGCCTTGTGGAAGCCAGGACTGGTCCCAGGGTGAGTTTTGAGGGACCTAGAAAGGTTTGCCTGCCCCAAAGCATTCCTACCACTCCTTAGAGTCTTTCTGTGGTCAAACTGCATTTAGGCACTCATTGTATTACTTGGGAGATGTGACAAAGTCCTTAATTTATCAAACACTTAACTGCAAATCTACTCATGCTGAAAATATACCTATTATGGCTCCTTGATTCCTTACTCTTCAGCTTGGTAAAGGACACCCATCATTTGCCTGCTCTCCAGCTGCCTTTCTTGGCTCTTCCTACCTCAAACATCTAATACGCAATCCTCATGCAACTACACTCAACACCAAGCACCATTTATACCATTCTTGCTTTTCCTCTTCCTCTGCAGGCAGTGCCCTTCCCTGCCTTGTAGACTCACAAACATCTTATCTGTCAGGATTCTGCCTACCTCTCCTCTGTCAACATTTCCCTAACTCTCCAGGTGGGAATGACCACTCCCTTTTGGTTACCCTAGTGCCCACACATACTTTTGTTATACTACCTAGAATACGTCATACCACTGTGTCCATCGGCCATGTCTATACCGCCCACTAGGCCCGGTACAGGATGGTACTCGTGGGAGGATGAGCTGATATGGAAGAGAGAGGAGGGTGACTTCAGTTATAGTCACACGGAGGCTGAGAGGCCCAAGGAACGCCCAGGTGAGTCTTCTCAGTCGGTAATGAGCTACCCATACCTGAGGCTTAGGAGAGAGGTCTAGACAAGAAAAATAAACGCGGTGCTCATCAACAAACAGGTGACAGCTGGAGTCATGTGTGCAGATAGAATCTTTCAAGGATGATGTATACAGTGGGAAGAGGATCAAGCCCCAGG